GCAAGAGAGGAAAGAAAGGGGGGAAGGCACCATGTTTTCAGCTCAGTTATTTGAGAAATAATTGCTGTAATTTTGTCTGTCCTCAATCTCCTCACCAGGCAAGCTTACTGAGGAAGATGTCTAGTTCTTGAAAGTGCTAAAATTCACACTTTTCTAGAAGGAAGTTTGATTAGTTTGAAATTTACACTTGACCATTTCCAAATTCTAGGATAAGACCTAAAAAACTGGGGGGGGTGGGGGGGAAGTCAAAGAAAGAGAAACAGAAAGACAGACACACAAAAAAAAAAAAAAAAATCAAAATTATCCCAATACTGCTGGGAAAAAGAAAAAAGAAAAGACAAAGATTTTCACTTTGTCTGGCACAGTGTTTTCATGTTTTTTAAACTGCTCTGTATTTTCACAGCTTCAGCTGATATTTCTGAAATATGGAATTTGCATTTTCTAGGTGGGGAATGCTGCCAAAGCTGCTAATCCCGGCCAGATGTAAAGTTGCACCACCATATCGTGATGTGGCTCCTTAAAAACAACTTAAAAAGGATTAAAAAAAAAAATAAAAAACCCACAAGAAAACAACCACCACAAATATTCACTAACCCATATGGTCAATAATTGCTGTTTAATAGTCCTCCTATTACAAACCTAAAAAGCAGCAGCCAGAATTACCAGTAGAGTATTAATAAACAGGAATGAGTTAATAGTGCATAAAGACCTTCTAGTGGAACAGTGGGGGAGTTGAATATTCTTTTCTTAAGTCAGCTGTAAGTAATTACTACATGGTGTGCTTCTGACTATTACCATAACAGAGCAATTGGACGTGAAGAATGGATAATAGTATGGACATGGAGGTATTTTTAGAATATCAGCAGCGAGGCAGGTAAATGCCCTGCTCAGGCACAAACCTTTAAATAAGTTTAAATAACTTTTCCTAATGACACCTTACCCCGAGCAGATTTCTGAAAAGATCAATCTAATGAATTATTAAAGTAACTTTATAAAGACGTGTCTT